AAAAAAAAAAAAAAAAAAAAAAAAGAGGAAGTTGGAGGATACTCAACTGTGGCTCAGGGTGACCTGCCATTGAGTCAGGAATAACTGTGTAGTTGATGGATGGCAAAGCCCTGGCTCTTACCCTTTATAAGTAACATAAGAGTGAGTCATGCCTACTGCCCCACCTGGAATACTGCTGCATTGCTAATCACAGGCTAGAATGGGGGACAGAGGTAATGGGAAGGAGGCAGAATGGGTAGAGGAGAGGGAGACAGATATTTGGAAGTGGGTGCTTCTGAGAAAGGGAAGCAGGGATAGAGGGATGGAGCCAGGGCCTTGGGGTCAGGGAATGAAAATTGAAAACTCTCAGCTGCACCTGGCATTTAGTAGATGCTCAATAACTATTTATTGACTTGAGGTGCATCTGAGATAGAAGGGAAACATGGGGTAGCAAAAAGAGTATATTATCATCTAGTGGCATTAGAGGCAAGTGGGTTTAAATTCCAGCTCTGGTACTTAATCAACTGCGAGGTATTGGGCCAGCTACCTCACTTCTCTGAAAATGTTTCCTTAATTGAAATATGGGCCAACTGGCCTTCAGGTTGTTGTAAGGATTAAGAATATGAATAGGCACAAAGTGGGTGTATTTCCCTAGTGGCCATCATTATAATTATGGGAAGAGGGGCTGCTTTGGAGCAGGTGTGGACACTAGTGAACTAACCCAGGAGTAGGAGACCAGGATGATAAAATAGCCTCCAAGTGCTAAGATCATCAGGGGATACAATTTCTCTTTCTCTTTTCGTCCTCCCTTCTCTCCCTCTCCATTTCAGGTAGGTTTTGTGGCTTTTTCTTTTCTCCAGAGAAGCAGAGACTTCTGCATTCCTAGTTCTTGTTCAGTCAATGAGAATGACTGTAAACAACTTTCCCCTGGCCCCCATATACACACACATTCTAGCCAGAAAAATTCTTGCCAGAGGCATGGGGTGGGGGGGCGGTGGCGGTGGTGAGTTCTAGGCAGCAAGTTAATAAATGACCCCCAAAGACTTTCATCTGGGCCTTAGGAGGGCCAAGATCAGGCCCTGGCAGTTTTCCCTGACGCAAAAGGATGGCAAGGGTGCCTGGAGGCCCAAGGCAAGGTCACAAAAGAACATGATATCCCCTGCCCTGGATTCAGCCCAGCCTGGCCCAGCCCAGCCCAGTCCAACTCAGCCAAACTTCCCCAGAGGCTGCTGAGAGTGGGGAGCTGGGAAAAGAACCCAGCATCCCTGTTCTGGTCCAACACTGGCTTCCTAGGACCCCAGGGTTGTGGCTCCTCCCTCTGGCCTCAGTTTCCTTCTCACCAGATTATAACTCCATGAAAGCAGGACTTCATCCATCTTGTTCATCGTTCTGTTTTCAGTGTCTACAGCATACAGACTACCTGAAAAGGCTAGAAACACAGGGCTCTTTAATTCATTAATATTAGAGGTGTTCATGTGGGAGTCTCTCTGTAGATTGCTCCAATGTCAGCATTGGAGAATATGACTGAGATTTAATTCAAAGCATAATGTGGGGGTATGGGCAGGAAGGGCAACAAATGAAGCATTTCCCCTTTTGTCCTGCCTTTTCAGACACCCTGTATTTACTGAATGAGTTGCTCTGTAAAGTCAAGGGCTTAGATTAAAGGCTCTCGAATGGGCCTCCCTCCCCAGCAGCTCCTTGATTTAGCAGCGTCTCCCCTGTGTGTTCAAAAGTTAGCCAGTGCCTCTCTCCTACCTCCAAAGCAGCTGCCTGCATAGGCCATTTTCTTTGAAGGTTGGGAGGGGTCCAGCCTCCGCCCAGAGAGGCCTCGGTGGTGGGGCGGGTGGTGGGGCGGGTGCTCCGGGCTGGCCCACCTCCAGCGCGAGTGGGGATCGCGTGTTAGGACTGGGGTTTGATCGGTTGGGTTGCCCCGGGGTGAAACCTAAGGCGGTCTTCTGGGAAGGGTAGATGCCCTGTGTGACTCAGAACCAAGTTAGGGAAAAAACAAGCTCAGTCAATTGCTGGCACCCTCCCGGTCTGGCCTGGCTTTGACTATGAGCTCATGAAAGAGGAAGCTGGGCTGGGCTGGCCAGTAGCCCTGCTTTCCCTCATGTTCTCTCTCCATCACTCACGGATTCCCTAGAGTGTCTGGGCCCCATTGCTACAGTCATCCTGGCTCGGGCAGCCCTGGCCCTTTTATGACACTCTCTCTTCCCAGACCATTGGTCAGTTGTTTCCCCAGGTTGGAAATACCACCCGACACTGAAGGGGATTACTCACAAGGGGAGGCTGAAAATATCATGTGTCCCTTGGCTCTGATGATCTCCACTGCCAACCACGACCATTTGGGTTTGCTCCTGTGACTGCTGCATCTCCCACACAGACCAACTGGTGGTAACCCTGGGAGCCCGAATGAAGAGGTTGCTTGAGAGCTAGGGTTCCCCAGTTCAGGAAAGAGACAGAGGGTCCCAAAGTACTGGGCACCTGAGCCACCTTCGGGGCTGATGTGTCCTAGTTGAGACCGACTTACCTAATATTTTTGGTATTCAGAACAATACACTACCAGAAAGGCACATTTGATTTCAATGGAAACAATGACAAGGATGGGACACAGAGAACCTTCCTAACTCTTCTCCCTCCATTCCATCTTCTATCTTCTATGCCTTCCCCAGAGCTTTCTTCTTTTTTCTTTTTTTTGGCCGTGCTGCATGGCATGCAGGATCTTGTTCCCCCGAACCCGTGCCCCCTGCAGTGGAAGCATGGAGTCCTAACCACTGGACCACCAGGGAATTCCCTCCCCAGAGCTTTCTTGTTAAAAGAAGGAGTTGACCAAGTCAGTGTCTGGGTTGGTAACTTCAGTGCCTCTAAACTCTCTAGTGGGGCTGACACTGGCCTCCCAACCTGAATCAGGCAACTTTACAGGCTTCTCTCTCAACTCCCTGACTGCTTTCCCTGCTCCCTGAGCTAGGGCATCATATACGATTTTGTACTTTTTCTCACTCATGCCAAACTCTTACCCATTGGACTCTTCACATGCTGTTTTCTCTCCAACCTCCTGGGGAAACCGTGCCCATGACTCCTCCATGTAGTCCATCTACTTTGTATGTAAATCGCTTGAGGCACCAAACACAGTATATTATAGATATTTGTCTGTTGATCTTTCTGATTGCTTAGAAGTGCACGTGGCATTGTGATGCAGCCATTTTGATGCCAGGGACTTTTTGACAAGGCCCCCTAAAGTTATTAAATTGTCAGCATTTAGGGACTTCTCTGCCAGTCCAGTGGTTAATGGACTTTGTGGGCACGGGTTTGGACCCTGGTTGGGAAATGAAGATCCTGCATGCCGCATGGAGGAGCCAAAAAAACAAAAACAAAAAAAGAGAAATGTACAAACCAGATACTCTCAGCCCATCCCTGTGTGTTGTGCTCATCCTGTCTCTCTCTGACTCCCACCCTTTCACATAGAATTTGGTAGTGCTTGGTGATATTACTTTTTTTTTTTTTTTTAAGCCAGGTATATTGCAGAATTCCCTGGCAGTCCAGTGGTTAGGACTTAGCGCTTTCACTGCTGAGGGCCCAGGTTCGACCCCTGGTTAGGGAACTAAGATCCCACAAGCCTCGTGACACAGCCAAAAAAAGCCAGGTGTATTGAAGTATAGCTTATATACAGTAAAATCCATCCTTTTTAGGAGTACAGTTTGATGAGTTTTGACAAATTCATATAGTTGTGTAAATGCCACTGCAATCATGATATAGAATATTTCCATTGCCCCAGAAAGTTCCTTATGCCCCTTTGGAATCAATACCCTCTCTTCGCTCCTGGCCCCTACTGACCACTGACCTGATTTCTGTTCCTGTAGTTTTGCCTATTCTAGAATGTCATATAAATAAAACTACAGTAGGCACTCTTTTGTGTCTGGATTCTTTTGCTCAGTATAATATTTCTGTGATTCATCCATATTCTTGCACGAATCAGTAGTTCTTTCCTTTTGATTTCTGAATAGTATTTCATTGTATAAATATGATACAGTTGGCTTATTCATTCACCATTGAAGGACATTTGTGTTTTTTTCTTGATTTTGGCTATTACGAATAAAACTGCTATGAAGAGTCATATACAACTTTTTTTGTGGACGTGTGTTTTTCTCTTGAGCAAATATCTAGGAGTAGTATAACTCAGAATATATTTAACTTTATAAGAAATGGCCGTGGTTTACCATTTTACACTCTGACAGGACTGTTCTAAGGAAGCTGCATCAAAATATCCCTGTTGTAAGTTCCTGCATCAAATCTGTCAAGTCAGAATGTTTTCCTTGTCAGAGAACAGGTTGACATGCAGGTTACCTCAGGGCACAGGGATAGGCTGGAATCCGGCAATCTGCGCCCTGAAGAACTGGCATGTCGTGTCTTCAGGAGGCCACAGCGATTTCAAGCCACCCTGCTGTTCAAGCAGCTCCAGGAGCACACCCCACCTCCCAGCCCACCCAGCGCACCCTGTGGCTCAGTATCTCTCCGTCTGCCGCTCTCTCCAGCCTCAGTGTCTGCCGCGTGGCCCTGCATGGGCCCCGGTGCATAGTGTGAAGTAACACAGGCCCACGCTGCTTGGGCACACACAGTGCCCTGTAGGCACTAATCTGAGCACTACCCAGGAATCAATCCATTAAACCTTCACAAACCTCCACTGTCATCATTGTCTGTATCCTCATTTTACCAAAGAGGAAAATGAGAAGTTCCATGAGGCAGCTCACTTTCTCAAGATTACATAGCGGGAGTTAGATTCGAACCCTAGTCTACCTCATCCCAAATCCAGCAGTGTACCACATCGGTCAGAGAGTGGACGCTGGAACCAGCTTACTCTGGTTCAATTCCATGTTCTATTCACCTAATTTTCGTGGTGAGTCTCTGAGAAGAAGGCCTTTACAACATCCCTTTCACGGGTGAGGATACAGCACAGAAACTTTGCATGGCAGCAAGGGCTAGAGCTGGGATTGAATTCCAGGAAGTTTGGCTCCAGAGACAAAGCAACCAACCTCTACGCTTCCCTGCCTCTTAACAATCCTCATTATTAACATTATCATTTGGCTCACTGCCCTAGCTCGTTGTCTTTGGGGTTTTACGCTGCTCTGATATTTGCGTCCTTACTTGTGTCTCACTTTCAAACTCTGAATGGGTTATGCACACATGCCCCAGGGTAGAATAACCTTGATGGGCAGCCCTGTTGGGCATTCTCTCCTCTGGTCATATTGCTGGACTCTTGCCAGCCCTTGGGGGTTGCCTCTAGCTCAGGCAAGGATCCTAATCCAGCAGGGGATGTCGGGGAGGTAAGGACATCTGCAGGGTGACCCATGCCTAAGAAATCTCCAGCTACTTTTTTCAAGAGGACATGGTATAGTCAGAAGACAAATGAAGGTCTTGAGGTCATCTCAAAAGATCATTTGTTTCCTCAAACAATTTTTTGGCCATGCCACATGTGGGATCTTAGTTCCCTGACCAGGGATCAAACTCATGCCCCCTGCAGTGGGAGCACAGAGACTTAACCACTGGACCACCAGGGAAGTCCCTTCCTCAAAGAAATTTTGAGCTCTTTCACATGAGACTAACCATTGAACCCCCTGTCAGGGCTGAGTACTGTGCCTAACTTATATTAGGTACTCAGTAGATTTTGATTGAATGATAAATTAATGAATGAACAAAAAGACCCAGATTCTCTTAAGTTAGCTCTATGCTGTCGCATATGGTGGCATGTGGCTATTTAAATTTTAATTGATTAAAATTAAATACAATTTAAAATTCAGTTCCTAGGGACTTCCCTGGTGGCACAGTGGTTAAGAATCCACCTGCCAATGCAGGGGACACGGGTTCGAGCCCTGGTCCGGGAAGATCCCCCATGCCGCGGAGCAACTAAGCCTGTGCGCCACAACTACTGAGCCTGCGCTCTAGAGCCCGCGAGCCACAGCTACTGAGCCCACGCGTCCTAGAGCCTGTGCTCTGCAACAAGAGAAGCCACCGCAATCAGAAGCCCACGCACCGCAACGAAGAGTAGCGCCTGCTTGCCACAACTAGAGAAAACCCAGGCACAGCACCGAAGACCCAACGCAGCCAAAAATAAACAAATAAATAAATTTATTAAAAAAAAAAGAAATAATAATTAAAAAAAATTCAGTTCCTCATTCGCATCAGCCACATTTTAAGTGTACAAAAACCTCATGTAGCCGGTGGTTACTATATTGGAAAGTGCAGGTATAGTGCATTTCCGTCATCACAGAAAGTTCTATAGGACAGCACCGGGCTAGATGATGAGCGGGGTGAGAGAAGGAAAACTGCTGCATTGTGAAAACATTCACTGCGAGCTGATGGCTTTCATTTGCTTTCAACACTTTTAAAGCAGTCAAGATCAGTCTGCTTTGGTTGGATGAGGTCTCCTACCGCCCATTCAGAGCTCTAGAAACAACTTCTTCAGAAATCTATTACTGAAAAACGGAAACGTGTTTCTGATCATAGCCATGACCCAAACTTCTGTGAAAAGGAATACAAGAGGTTGAAGGGGGAACTAAGAGAGTTTTTTTTCTGTCATAGGCCACACGGAGCCAACCAACCCAAGGTGCTCTGCACCCATTATCTCATTCAGTCCTCCTAGCAGCCCTGTAGGACACAGGAGGGCAGTGGAGATAAGTGGCTGAAAGTCATAGAAATGATGGAGGCTAGTCCCTGCACTCAAATCATCAGTAGATTGACTGTCAAATGTGTTCCAACTATGAGCAGTGGAAGGCAGAAAGATGGATAAATGGGCCTCAAGAAGTTTATAACCTAGTTAAGGGAAAATAAGAGACCTATAATAACTATATAACTGTACATACATATACACATATATGTACAATTATATGTATATATTTTAGACATGTACACACTAATATATGCACATACACAGTAACATAATAACTAACATTTGTTTGGTGTATTAGAGCTTAGCAAGTACTTTTTCTCATCTGAAGACCCAGCAAATCACCGTGTTGAATGTCAAATGAATGGAATGTTGAGACGGAAAGCGAGCGTTTTAGGAATTCAGAGCAGGGTGAGATCACTGCAGGAAGGGGTGATGGGAAAAATTTTGGCTGAGGCATAGAACTAGTAGAAATGCTGGGCAGTCACACAAACCCGAATACAACTCCTGGCTTCCCTACTAGAGACCTGCCAGGATCTCTACTGCTAATAGTTTTAAAGGAGATAATTGTAAATTCATCTTACTTTCTAGAAGATAAAATGCTAACTAAGAGTGCTTAGTGGTCTGGGTTTTCTCTCTGGTCCTCCACCCAAATGATCAAAATATTAAAAAAAAAAATACTTCCATCTGTTTCACAGTGATTCTAAAAACACAGGGTAACCTGGATACTTTAGATGTGAAATGGTTTGAGTTGCCTTTACTTAATAACCCTGTGATTATTAACCCAGGGCACTTCCCTGGTGGTCCAGTGGTTAAGACTCTGCACTCCCAATGCAGGGGGCCTGGGTTCAATCCCTGGTTGGGGAACTAAGCCCTCATGCTGCAACTACTGAGCCCATGAACTACAACTAGAGAAGCCCGTGCATCAGAACAAAGAGCCTGCGCACAGGAACGAAGACCCAGTGCAGCCTAAATAAATAAATAAATTTACAAAAAAAAAAAAGCTTAAAAAAAAAACAACCCTGTGATGAGCATCTGATGGTACAGCTCAAACACCTTATTAACACCTGGAGCTATATAAGGTCAGCTCTGCCCATAATTTCTGCAGTGAAATGCATGAAAATCCAGTCCTGCATTTTTTTTTTTTTTTTTTTTTTTTGCAGTACGCGGGCCTCTCACTGTTGTGGCCTCTCCCGTTGCGGAGCACAGGCTCCGCACACGCAGGCTCAGCGGCCATGGCTCACAGGCCCAGCCGCTCGCAGCATGTGGGATCTTCGCGGACTGGGGCACAAACCCGTGTTCCCTGCATTGGCAGGCAGACTCTCAACCACTGTGCCACCAGGGAAGCCCCAGCCCTGCATTTTGACTGGGCTTTCCTAGGTTCTCCTTACATAATTGTAGCCATTTCTCTGCCAGTAGTGATTTAGAAATGCCTTTCTAAAGCCCTCTGCATTTGCCTCAGCTTCCTTTAATTTTTCTAAAACTTTTACCTTCCTTTCTTAGCATTTGGATTTCTTTGGTTTCAAGCCACAGAAACTCATTATGGCTAACTTAGAAAAGCTGAGCATTGGGAGGATATTGGAGAGCTCACAGCCTGAAAGGAAGGCTAGAGAGCTATGTTCAGGGAACACAGGAACTAGGGCAGCTCTGGGGACTCCATAGCAGGAATCAAGTCTTGCTCTCGCTACCTGCTGAAATGAATGAATGACAGCTAGTTTTTTTCCATCCCTCACATTCATGTTCATCATTCAAAGCTCCAGCAGAGAGAGTCTGATTAGTCTGGTTTAGGTAGGGGCCTGGGGAAGAATGGACATCTTAACTGAAAGCTCAGTAGGACTGTGCACAGGTAATTCCCCAAAGAATCCAATGACTATTGTCAGAGGAGGAGGACAGAGTCATTGCTGCATTGTCAAAACCCAAATAATATCCACTACACCCTA